AGTGTTGCGAATGGAACCAAGCATTTGCCCATTCGTAGCAGATGAAGTCACATGCTGGAACAAGGGTGGTGCGCAACTCTGGCATCAGAATAATGCTATAACAGCATATATTGCACATGAGTTTCACCTTGCTTGGTGTACATTTGGGAGTTTCTTCCAGTTTATTCGAGGCCAGCGTGAAGTTGTTTTGTAATGACGATACGCTTGACATAGTTCATATAAGAACTTGAAATTATCTTGCCATGCAGGGTGTTAACTTCATCATGCTCAGTTGCAGATTGGTACTATTTTTCTTCTAATATTCATATTTTTGGTGTTGTTTCATTCTTGTCTCTATTTTTATTTTTGTTTCACCAATGTATTTTTGTTTACACTTTCATTCTATTAAGTATACACTAGTATATCTCTTTGATGGTAGTTTTGTTTTGTTGCATGAGGATATTTAAGATTTTCGATAGACTTAAAAACTGTCTTGTAGATTGCTTTCCTAAAGTTTTTTTGAAGTTTTGGTAATAATATTGAAATCCATGATAGTGATATAGTTGGCATGGTTGCTTCATTGTTATATGAAACTATTTCATTATTTGAGAGTCATTATTTTATAACAACATTTGCAAGGTATATTTAATACTATAAATTAATATTAGTAAATTTTTTTATTCAGGAAAAATTTATAACTCAATACTGTTTGATTTTTTTTAACACTTTAATTGAGCGCTTTAATAATCAGCAATTAGTATGTTGCTAGTTACTATTACGTTGTTTTTTTCTTTTGTGTTTTTGTTGTTTGTGTTTCTATTGTATGTTCTTATTTGTGTAATAGAATCGTACATGTTTCTAAATGTAATTATATCAGGAAATATGAATGCTTTAAAAAAGAAACAGAACAAGTAAATAATTTATGTTTTAGAATTCAATTTTGTATGGCATAATACAACGTTATGCAAGCACATTGATAGTTATTGAACACAACAATGAATCATTGACACCTACTTCTTTACATTCAATATCTGCTGCAAAAGCTATAGGTGGTGACATTACTTGTCTTGTTGCTGGAACAAAGTGCAAACAGGTAAACCAACAATTTTTGAAATAACTTTATCTAGATATAAGTCTTTTTGTATTTGAAAAAATTTTTCCAAAATTTTGTGTTCTTGATATGTTTAAATACTGCTAAAACACAGCTTAAATGCTTTTTGTAAACTCAATTGTATTTTAATACTATAAGATCAGTTAATATAAAATCCAAACTTTGTTCTTGATATTTATAATTTTTGTCATTTCATTTGCTCATTACGTTTCTATGTCTATCATTTGTTTGGCTCAATTTGTAATTTTTTAATCAATATTTTATTTTTGCCTTTGTGTAAGGCACCAACTCCACTCAAAAAAATTTGCGAGAAAATTCTTATTTTCATTTTTCAAAGATTTTTTATTTGGTTTTAACATTAAAAGATCAATAGATAAAAAATATGCTTATCTTGTCGTGAACTAAATAAAAACCCTTAAGTTTGTAAAGTTATGCATTATCGTTTTGAAAATTTAAAAGAAATTGAGAAAAGTTACATTATAAAAAAGTTTTCCCATTTGTAGAAAATTCATTCAGTACAATGCTCAATGTTTTTTTTTTTTTTTTTTTTTTTTTAACATCTTCACTTCCAACAAGGCTGCAAGCAACCACTATAAGAGTTGGAAGTTACTGGAAGAGAAAAGACTAAATCTGTAGAGCAAGATAACGATTGACTGATGACTTAAAAGATTGCAAATTATATGAATCAGGAAAGCAAGAAAGCAAATTATATGAATCAGGAAAGCAAGACAGGCAAGCAATCAGAGAGTGTAGGCTTCTTATCATGACAAGAGTAAATGGTAGTGTCGTCAGCGAATAATGCCACCTTAGATGTGAGAATATCTGGAAGATCGTTAATGTAAATTAAAAAGAGTATAGGGCCAAGGATTGAACCTTGAGGAACCCCTGAAGTTACAGGATGTGAAGAAGAGTGTTGTCCATCGAGGGCAACTTTTATACTACGATTGGAAAGAAAGGACTCAATAATCTTAAAGACGTTACCAGCTACACCATAAGAAGAAAGCTTATGGAGAAGACCAGCATGCCAAACTTTATCAAAAGCTTTAGAAATGTCAAGTGCGATAGCCTTAACCTCTCCACCTCTATCTAATGCACGGTAAAACCTATCGGTTATTACTGTTAGCACATCAGCTGTAGAACAAGAAGACCGAAATCCATATTGATGATCAGAAAGTAAGTTATTTGATTCAAGATGAGAGATTAAGTGTTTGTTGATTAAAGATTCAAAAACCTTGCTTATGACAGGAAGAAGACTAATAAGACGGTAGTTAGATGAATCAGATCGCTCTCCGGAATTTTTGAAAATAGGGATAACAGATGCTGCTTTCCAGCATGATGGAAAACAAGACTCTGATAAGCACTTGTTAAATAGTTTAGAAAGTATGGATGAAAGCTCCGGAGAACACTTCTGCAAGACTACAACAGGAATGTTGTCAGGACCACAAGCTGTTGAAGAGTCTAAGCAGGAAATTACTTTAGATACAGAAGCTGAAGTGATGCGAATGTCAAGCAAGGGATCAACCTGTTTGACGGCTATGTCTGGTAAAACGCAACTAGTGGAATCAAGAGATGATATTGATGAAAAGTTCTTAGCAAACAATTCAGCTTTGTCTTTAGGTGAGGTGACAAAGTCTGAACCATACAAGAGAGAAGGAATAACAGATTTGCCCTTATTATTGATACTGTTAAAGATTCTCCAGAAGTCTCGAGAGCCTAATTTTTGTGATGAGATACGAGATTTAATGACCTGGGAATAGCGAGCTTTGGCGTCAGACAAAACCTTTTTACAATGGTTTCTGGCGATAGTGAACAGATGTCTGTTTTCTGGAGAATTGTTTTGCTGATAGATATGGAAGTAACGGTTTCGATTAGAAATTGCTGCAGCGCAATGTGAGGAAAACCAAGGAGAAGAGTGAGGCTTGACCTGGAATTTGAGAGGGAATAAAAGATTCCATGCCAGCCTGAATCCACGAAGTTATGTAAGAAGCACATTTGTCAGCAGGAAGACGAAAGATTTCTACCCAAGGGCCATCACAAAGAAAATCACGGAAAGAGTCCCAGTCAGCTTTAAGGTAGTTGTATGTGGTACGATGATAGGGGGATTCTGATGAAGTAGAAGAATTTGATAATAGTTTTAGAGAGATCAAACCGTGATCAGAAGTACCTAAGGGTGAATGTGGAGAAATTGAGCACTGACTAGGATCCAAAACAAGACATAAGTCGAGTAGAGAAGGTAAATGATTAGGGTTGTCTGGAAAACGAGTTGGAAAGTTGACTATTTGAGTTAGAGATTGAGAAAGGCAAAAGTTGAGGGCCTTAACGCCAGCAGAGTCACTGACACTAGAGCCAAGCCAATCGGTGTGATGGGCATTAAAGTCACCAACAACGACGATATTGGCCGATGGATAAAGAGAGAGGGCTTGGTCAATTTGATCAGAAATAACATCAAGAATAGTGCAATCTTGGGATGAAGGAGAGCGATATAGAATAAAGAGAAAGGCGATAGAGTGAAGTTGTGCTAAACGAAAGCACATAAATGAATAGTCTGTAGATTCAAACCTAGTTTAACGACAAATTGGTGAGTTCTTACGAATGTAGATGCCCAGGCCAAGCATGTGATTATTGGAGTCTTTACGAATTAAAGGAAGATAACCATCAACACTAAGATCACAAGATGGGACAGCTGAACTCAAATTAGTCTCAAAAAGAGCAAGTAGGTCTGGTGAACTTTGCAAGAGATAAGACTCAACAGAAGAAAAGTTACTTTGAAGACCACGAATATTAGTAAATGATAGGTTTAGAGAACTTGGTGATGACGATGGTTTTTTGTGTTTTTTAGTTTTATGTACTTTAGTCATTTTTAAATTTATAAAGAACTTGACTCAAGTATAGATAGTACTCAGTACACTATTTAACAACTAAGCAATAGCCTCATTACTATTAATAAACCCTAAGCCGTAACAAAGGGCTCCAAATGTGGCCTCTGCAATGCACACCAAAAGTACAAACAGGGACACCATCCATGCGCAACATGGCACTGTTAGTACTCTGATATTTTTCGGCTGTTGATGGAATCAGCCTCTCTGAGAGCTACCACAGAGTTCGGGAAACCTGACTACCAGCCGGCCTCAGAACCATAAAACTGAGTTTTAGAGCTGTACCCTCATTAGGAGATAATAGAATGAGTTGCCCAGTCATAAAAATAGAGACACAAGCAATACCCACGCATTGAGTCAAGAAGATCCAGCGTTCAACATCCTAAACTGGAAACAATGTATTAAAAATACATCTGCGCCAGCCTAATAGATGAGAAAGGGGTGCGAGGCTGGTCAACAGATAGAATCTGTTTACCCCTTAAGTCTTTGCCAAGGAGGCCTTCTACAAGACAGCAGCTGGATGCATGTAACATCTGCCCAAGATGAGTATTTTTATCGAGACACCATCTCTAGCCTTTACTCAACCAAGAGCCCCAAGGCAGGGGGTGTTTTAATTCGGAGTTAACTTCTCCTAGCCTTTGCCTAAAAAAGCGTATCCTACAAGGCAGCAGGACATGGAGCAGGTTGTACTGGGTTACATGTTACCAGTAGCAGGAAAACCTGACCTGACCTGACATGTCAATGGAAGCATGAAAAATTGTTTGTTTTTATTACACAAGTTTATCACTGATAAAATCTCTTCCAAAGAAAAAATAAAAATATGCTGGTGCTGCCAGTAGGTCTTCATCAAAAGTAAAATTTGTTGTTATTCATGACATTGCACTTTGGTCTTGTATCAATTTGTTGTTGCAAACTTTTGATAAAATGTTGGTTCAGTCACTCCATCAGGTTCAACTTTGACATGCGAAGCTTTTATTGATATGTTCAAAGCAGTCGAAAGTACTGTAAAGTATGCTTTGAAATATTCCCATGTTGTTTTGTTACTCTTTGATGACTGGATAGATAAATACAAAAAATTCTTGATATAAAGTGCACAGTAATAATAAGTGAATGGGAAGATTTTTTACTTTACCTTGTATGCCACTGAAAAACTGCACAGCAGAAAATATAGTAGATTTAGTTAAAGATAAAAGTATTGAGAACAAACAGTATGGAGAGTTACATTTGCATAATGTTAATGATGATGCTGCAAATATGATAAAGACTTCCAAACTGCTGGGTTGTGAAAAAACCTAAAATTGCTTAGATCATGTACTTCTGGTTTATGGCTCAACAAATGTCCTGAAGTCTTAAAATTGCTTAAGAAAGGTCAAAATATTGTAATATGTTTGAGCTTCAAATCAACTGTTCTTGTTAACAAGCTTTTATGTGCAAATGATAGTGGGAGTGTTTATAATAGATTATGAAAAGTTACAGAAGTTAAAGAACTTTTTTAGATGAACAATCCCCAATCTAACTAATTTTATAATTCATTGAGTAATATGCAATAAATAATAAATAAAAGATTTAAAATAAATAAAAATAATAAATTATAAAAACTTATTTAACATGTTTAATTATAGTACTATAATTGTTTCAAAATTGTTAAACAGGAAATAATCAATAAACAACTAAATAAAAATAAGAAAACATAAATTACTTAGATTTATTATTTAATTAAATAAAATGAGATAATTAAAGAAAATTATTAGGAGAAAGCTTTTTCTATTTAGAATGAAGTGCTTTTTTTTTCTAAAATGTATTTCTAATTGTATCTAAAATCTTGAAATTAATAGGTGAGTTTAAATTTTTATGAGATTACTTTCTCTATATTATTGCTGTCAAATATTTGCATTGTTCTGTAAAGTAACTAATATTAAAGCCGATGAATAAAAGTTTGTTGGTAACATGTATTTTAAGTAAAATTGAAGACTCAAATACAAAAAATAATGTGTAGTTTTATTTTAATTAAATTAGAAAAAAATAATTAAATTAAAGTTTATTATAAAATTAAAGTTATTATAAATACATATCATTGATTTTTAGGATTTATTTAATCTTATTAACAATAAATAGATTTAACAATATTTATAGCACTTTGTATACTATAGTTTGATGCTGGTAAAAACACCAGCAAGTGTGAATTGTACACTTTGACAGCCTTTATATATTTTAATAAAAGTTTTCTTCAGTTCTTTTTAATTTGTTTAAGTTTCTCATTTATGTCATTATAATTTATATTATTTTTTGAGTTAATCAGTCTGTTTGTTCATTTTTTTTTTTTGAAAAAAAAAAAAAACTATATTAAAAGATTTAAATAAAAATATAATAAAAAAAGTCCATACCTTGCCAACTTTTTTTTTTTTTTTTTTTGTGCAGTATGTTGCACTGATTCTTCAATTGTTCAGTCTATTATGGTGCATTATATACTGATTCTTTACTTATTTATGGTTAAATATCTTATATGGTTATGAATTTGATTTAATAGATAGAACTCATTTGTAATTATCAGAAGCAAGTTGAAAGATGATTTTGAAGTGAATCAATAAAAGTTTCTTGAAAAGTTTTAAAATCTTTTTAATTTGATTGATGTAATTTTTCTAACATCAGCAACATTAATTTTCCAAACCGTAATGTTCAATATTATTTTTGTTATTATTAATGTTGTTATTATTGTTATTATTATTGTCAACAAAAAGATTGAACAATATGAAAACAAAAGGTCTGTAATATATTTTTTTAGATAGCAGATGCAGTGAGTAAAATAGATGGAGTAAAAAAAGTATTATTTGCAGAAAATAATATTTACAAGGGATTTTTACCAGGTAGTTAAGTTTTTTCTTTAATTTTTTTAACTAATGTAATATAAACTTTATTTATTTGTGATACATATATGTAAGTATATAATATATACAAATCATATTATGATATTTAATATTTGTATGTATATGTTGTATGTGTAATAAGTGATGTGTGTATATATATATATTATATATATATATATATATATATATATATATATATATATATATATATATATATATATTTATATATATTTATATATATTTATATATATTTATATATATGTTTATGTTAAGTAAGGGTTCTTTTCAAAATATTGCATTGATTAGAGTGTGGGAATATAAAAACCCTAACATTTTGGCCATAACTGCCCCAAAAGTGAAAGCATCTAGTTGATAAAAAATATTTTTTATCAACTAGATGCTAAATTTATGTTCATAGATAAATTTTTAACTTCATGTAATTCTCTTAGCGTTTAGAAATTATGATCTTAAAAAATTTGTTGCTTGCTTATAATTTTATAAATGCTAAGAAATTGTTTGATGAAATTTAAATTTATCAATAATTATAAATTTAGACAAAATTTAAAAAGCTTTTTTTGCTCTTACATTTGGAGCAGTTCTGACCAAAATTTTAGAGGTTTTTTGTTCCCAGGCTTCAATTATAGCAATTTTTTGCAAAGCATCTTTGTTTGACATAAGTATAACCATATAAATGTTTGGAGTTTGCTCCATGTCTGGAAGTTAGCTCCAGCATCAGTAAACATCAAACTGGTAATAAATAGATTTAATAAAAAGAGAATAAGTAGAAAGTTTTCTTTTCCCTACTTTAAAAGCAAGGAGTTTATAAAACAAACTATATTAGTTTAAACTTTATTCACGCACCAGTTTGCAATTTCATTTATTTATCTCTTATGTTCGAAAAGTATGCCTTGAAAAAAACATATGACCCAATAAAAACATATGACCCAATAAAATTTAAACCATTTTGAAATTTGTTGTTGTAATTAGTTTTAGTAACATGGTATAAATTTTTTGTCATAAACTAGCTGTCAACGTTTATCGAATAAGTCATAATTTTGGATTATTTTTTTTATTACAGGCTAATCAAACAATTTTTTGCAAAGAATTTAACTTTGTGTTGAGTTTATATTACCATTACTTGTTTAAAAGTTACCATTTTTCTGTATTTATTTTATATGAACATAAAAATAGAAACACTAATTTTAAAAAAATAGCATTAGTTTGAAATTTAGATGTTATTTAATGAAATAAAAATCTTTATGAAATATTTTAGTATACTTTATTATTTTTTAATTTTTTTAATTTAGAATCTTTAACCCCACTGGTTGTTGATTTGCAGCTCAAGATGAAATACACACATATTCTTGCAACATCTTCATCATTTGCAAAGGCATTTCAATTTATTGATTTTTTTTTTAGTTAAAAATTTTTTTAATTTTCATGAGAAATTTTTGATTTCTAAATCTTTTCTCAAAATTTCTCAAAAGGTCTTCAATGTGTATAAAAAAATGGTGTTGAGAAAAAAAAAACTTTTTTTAAATTTTATTATTTTTTATTGAAATTAATTAATTTTTTTGTTTGTTTCAACTTTTCTTGATGTAAATTGCTTCAGAATTTACTACCTCGTATTGCTGGTAAATTAGATGTTGCACCCATATCTGATATATTAGAAGTTAAGAATGAGAACACATTTGTTAGAACAATATATGCAGGTATGAAAATTAAAATTCCTTTTTTTTTTTTTATTTTCATCCTTTTTTTTTTGTTTTTTTTTAAATTTCAAAATAAAACTTCTCAAAAAAGTATTTTGTTTCCATTTAAGTTAATAAATAATAAATCCATTTTATTATTTATACTATTCTAGGCAACGCAGTTACAACAATTAAATCTTCAGATCCAGTAAAGGTAATTTCTGTACGGGCTACATCTTTTGAAATGGCAAAAGAAGGTCTTTCTGCAGCTAATATAGAAGAATGTATGTCAATAATAATATAGTTAAAAAGTTTTCTAACTTTTCTAATTATGGATTTTTTTATTTGATAACAAATTAATTTTTGTTATCCATTAGTAAGAATTTTGTTTTATTTAAAGTTTATTTAAAACTATAGGCTCAAACATATATACTGTGATTCACTTAATGTGAATTTTTATCTTCTATATAATAAAAGAATAAAGTACTGCTTTTTAAACTCTATTTGAAGAGAATAGGAAACCAGACTGAATTATTTAATACATCTATGTCTGTAAGATTATAAAAGTTATTTCTTTCTTACAAAATTAAAATAGGTTTTTACAATGATTTTTATATGGCTTTATGTTGAAAAATAAAAAAATTTTAAAATTTTTTAAAAATTTTAATTAATGTTAAGCTTGAGATATCCTTGTAGCGTTTATAAACTAATAAAATGTTTTTCAACTGATGTTAGTTCATTAAATTCGTCATTTTGATTATAACTTTTTTTAAATTATACTTTTTTGTTATTGTTTATTCCGTAATTATTTTTTTACATTCTGTTGATGGAGGTAATTTAAATTTGGTAAAATTACAAAAGAAATAAGTATGCAAATATTGCATTCTTTTTTTAATTAAATCAGGAAAAATCAAAACGAGGAATATGTCGTTAATGAAAATTAATATTGCAATATGAAATATTTAGAAATTTTTTTAAACGTTATTTGCGTCAATCGTAAAGTTTTTCGAATTTATTAAATTATTTATTTGCTTTAGTGGCTGCAACAACAACACCTTCTGATGATGTTATTTGGGAGAGTGCAGAGTTGAGTGTGAGTGAAAGGCCTGAACTCACAAGTGCAAAGATTGTTGTTTCCGGAGGTAAATGTATTCTTAACGAATTCTTTTCCGTTTGCGTTAATCGACTGAGGGAACGCTGATCTTCCGGTTTTTTTAGGAATGTATGATAGCAGGAAGGTCAGCTAATAACTCTGACAAATTTTTACAAAAAAATTTCTTGAAACCTTTAAAAAATTTCAATATTTATTCCTATTTAAATTTCATTTTTATTTTAATTATTTTCGACTTTTTTTACAATTTTTTTTTTTGATTGAACTATTTGTTTGTTAGGTCGAGGCATGAAAAGTGGCGAAAATTTTAATTTATTGTACAAGTTGGCAGACAAGCTCAATGCAGCCGGTATTTTTATTAAATTTTTTGTTTAAACCTTGTAAACTTGATTGTGGTTGATTTAATTAACACTCTAACACTCTAAAACATATTTAGTTGGTGCTTCTCGTGCAGCTGTTGATGCTGGTTACGTACCGAACGACATGCAAGTCGGCCAAACAGGAAAAATGGTAGCACCAGATCTATATATAGCTGTTGCTATATCTGGAGCTATACAGCATTTAGCTGGTATGAAAGACAGCAAGGTAAATAAAAAAGTCTGCAAAACATCTTGAGTAGTTCTTTTTCAAATGTGTTATATTAAGCTCTCTAAAACGAACCAATTATTTAAATAATTATTACTCTTTCTTAAGCTCTCCGATTGTTAATTAAACGAATTCCTAAAGTAATTTATTTCAAAATTATGTAATTTATAAACATGCATTGCCAACTGCGAATTACGCAGATTTGATATCATATGGTGTTTTATGCAGAGATATTACAACTAATGATTTTAAATCGTTATATGTTTTATAAGTTTATTTTGTTATTATATCATTTATTATACCCGAATATATATCTTAATTTTTTTTTTAATACGTAGTGTATTGTTGCTATAAACAAAGATCCCGAGGCGCCGATATTTCAAGGTATGAACAAAAAGCTATCAACGTAATTAAAGCTAGAACGTTATTTTGATTATTGATTATGTATGTTATATTTCTATATTTCTAGTATCTGATTACGGATTAGTTGCTGACTTGTTTAAAGTTAGTTTTTGTTTTTGTTTTGTTTATTTTTTTTTTATTTTTTTTTTGCGAGCTTTAATCGTTAAAATTAAAAAAGGGTATATTTTAAAGATTACAAATTATCGCTTATTACAAGTTTCTGAATTTGAGAAAAGTAATATTTTTCTTTTTTTTTTATTATTATTACCAATATAAATGCGCAATATTTTTATTAATACTTATTTCATTTTGTGATGTGTGATTTTTATTTATAGGTTGTTCCAGAGTTGACAGAAAAGATTTAAATTATAAACTAATACAGTAGAAGTATTGTTCTGACGACGAATGAATAACTTTCATTCATGTACATATACTTTTATTTTGGAATAATGGAAAATCTTTAAATAATTATTTAAAAAAATTATTCTTTGTCATGTATTTAAAGTTTTAAATTTGTGTCGCAATATCAACAGTCTATTTGCTTGTTATTGTTTGCTGAATACGAATTTATTAATAATTTGTTATGTTTATTTGTCAAGAGTCGCTTATACTAGAGTTTGCTCAGCATGATAATGTACATCTTGTTTTTTTAATATTTTTTTAAGGAATATCATCGTATTTCGAACCTTTTTTTTTTCAAGTTGCTTTTATCTTTTTCGGTATACAAATTTGTACCAATGAAATTTAAGAAAACGTTAAAATCTTATTTTTACTCTTTCACAATTTTTCTGTTAATCTACTCAATGTAATATTGCAGTAATTTTGGTACTAACGTTCTTCCTTTTAATATGCTAGATCCTGTTTGAAAAATTTTCGTTTTTTTTTTTGTTGTTGCAGGTTTAATATGAGTATAGTTAAGAGAAACTGCATACCTATTTGAGTATGTTAATCAACAATGGACATTTAGTCAAAGAAATTCAGCAAGACAAAACCTTCTTGACTTCTGTCATTATTACAGCTGTATTAGGTTGTATAGTTATTGTTCTAATTGTTGTTATAATGGTTATGTATGTACTCATTAGACGTAAAAAAAAAAATGGTGTACTTTCAAACCGGAAATTTTCATTACCCCATAAAAATTTGGACCGTGTAAAAACTGAAATGCCTTACCACTTAACAGAAAAAGGAAGTAATAAATATTTAACTGATCACTCGCGTAAAGTGTCTATACCTCAGCAAGTATTTGCTGCTTCGGTACCTTTTAAATTTCCGATATCGGTAAAATCAAACGATGCATCTTTTAACAAAACTGTTGATACAAATTCGCTTTATCAAAAAGGTTTATTAACTATCGGCCGTCGCAAAAGAGAAATGTCATTTACTCGTTCTGTGTCCGTCCCAACAGTTAAGGATGAAACCTTATTTAATGAAGACGAAGAAAAAATGTGGTTGAGCTCATTGTCAATGATGGGAGTGTCGCCAGAGGTATTACATAAAAATCCATGGAATGGGGCATATGGCAAAGTAAAGTTTTCATTGTATTATAATCGAAAAGGTGAATATGAACTGGAAGTTAAGGTACTGACTTCGTTAATGATAATAAAAATGAACTTACCATCAGAATATTAATGTTTTGTTATGCTTTTTTAGCTGCACGAATTTGATGATTTACCTTTATCAAGAGAGAGCGGTATATCAGTACCATTTGTCAAAATATATTTATATCCGCAAACTGATCACGCTTACACTTCGCAAAATATTAATAAACAAAACTCTCGCGTAGAAGTATTAAGTTTTCCACATGACACTGAATGCATCTTTGCCGGATATACCCAAGAAATAATACAACAAATGGCTTTAAAGTTTGTAATTTTGGACTATGATCGATTTTCTCGCAGTGAATTTGTTGCAGAATGCGTCATTTTATTGGATGAGGAACCTCTTGATGGAAAAATGATTTCAAAATATTTGAGTATAAAAAAAACCCAAGCTGTAAGTCTGTAAATTATTTTATTTAAGAATATGCAAGTTTAGGTTATTAAAAAGAAAAAAATTTAAATTAAAAAGAAATATAATGTAAAACATATCTTAAAAGCTCATAGTAATAAAATTAGTGTTTTACCATAATTTTACCAGTCATTAAGACATTGTTAAATTGCAACAAAATTTATATTAGTTATAATAAAAAAAGTTAATTTCACTAACATAACATTTTAAAACAGAATATAAACTGTGTATTAGAAGGTTATAACATGTTATATTAACTATGTTTTTATAAAACTATGTTTTAACGTGTTAAACTACTTTAACATACTGAAACTATTAAACAAGCTACAAAGAGATTAAACTTCATTTGTTAATTATTCTAACAGTTTTTTTTTTAATTCATGAAGCTTAATAATATTGATAAATATCTCTAATATTTCCGGTTTTGAAAAAATATTTTTTAGCGGTTATCTGATGAAGTTTATAAGAACATAATGTGTGCATAAAAAAGTTTAACAAATAAAACACTATGTGAGATTTTTTTGTTAAAGTTTTCTAAATTTATTAAATTTAAATACATGAACCCTCGATTCATTTCTTTCCTCGATTTATTTAGATATATGAACCCTCGATTCATTTCATTCTTAAATTTTCTAAATTAAGTTCATTAAGAGTATTTGTGTTTTAGAAAAAAAGTTATTTTTGGTAGTTGCAAGTTGCAAACTATTTGAAAAAAAACATTTCGGCAATTTATCAAATCGTGTTTAATGCAAAGAAAATCAAGTCTTCAAGTAAATCTTCTTTTATGCCCACATTACACATGACATTTAAGTAAATCTTCTTTTACGCCCACATTAGTGAAGATTAAAATTGCATCTTTACGTAAACATGTTGGCGTATTGATTGGGTAATTTAGTGAATAAAATGTTTAGTTTAACCAGCTTATACATGAAAATAATGTTCTTTACTGGATAAGAAGAAAAAATGCGCCGCGAATGCAAAAGAAAACTATGTGCTGCATCAAAGTTTTCAATGTTTTCTAACGGAACTTAGCTATATAGAACATCAATTTATTTCAGTTTGTTTGTGTTAACATTTTGAAGCGATTAGTTCAGCAGTGAAAAATAGAGCCTCGCTTTATTCATAGTATAATGGCTCGTGTGTGACCAGATAATGATATATAAAATAAGCTAGTTTTATAAATTAATTATTGCATGACTCGGTTAAATAAGTATGTTCTCCTACATGAAATTGCGTTTGATAGGCTAGCTAAAAAAAATTTAAAGGCGGTATAATGTGCATATATTTTGGTCAGAAACAAATATTTGGTCAGTTATGTCAAACAGTAGACAAGAATAAACTTGAACAGAAAATGATTAGAATGTCCGTCCATGTTATTATAATGAATTCGGCATATCACAGTAAAAATGTTTAAATGGCATTTTTAGAATAATAACTTCAGAACAGTTAATTTCTAGAATAGTTAAAGCGTAATCTCTGTTAATATAATTTCGTTGAGTCCTAACCCGCTGTTCGCTTCTAACAGCATTTTTGTATAAACTTTATAATATGTTGTTAAACACTTTGCTAACTGAATGATGTTTAAAATCAAACGTGATCAAACGTTTTAACTTAAATTATAATAAAGATCATTGCTATAGTGCAGTCATTCTGGAAGTTGGGTCTTTTTAAATTTTATTAATGCAACTAAACATTTTGATTTTCAATTTCTTTTTGAAAATATAAAGTATTTTTGCTATATTTGATTCCTGTTATCAAACAAAAAGGTTTTTCTTCCACAGTTTTGTTCGTTTCTGTTTTTAAAATAATTTTTTTTTTATTACTTATATTAATATATATCATTCTACTATATACAGAGGCGATTCTACGAATAAAATGAGGGGGGGGGGATGAATCCTCAAAAAGTACCGATTTGCTTCTTAAAAAAAAAAGGTCCTCAAAACGAAAATTTAAAAAATATAAAGTATTTTTGCTATACTTGAAAAATCGAGTATAGCAAAAATACTTTATATTTTCAAAAAGAAATTGAAAATTATTTGTGTAGCGGAAATGGAGCTCAAAAAAGTTCATATAGTCCAAAAAATACCAAATATCAAATAAATTGCAAAGAATTTTGTTTCTCTTTTTTGTGTTTTAAATGTTTGATTTGCACAATGAATCAAACACAGAATTTTAAAAACAATTTTTAAATACTAGAAGTGTTTTTTTTTTGGGGGGGGGAGAAGAAAGATGACATTCAAAAACTCTTCATCAGCATTATGAACTCTATGTGCGCCCCTTGCTTTAATTTAATGAGCTTAACTTACATTATTGGCGATGAAGTTATGAAAAATTGACATGAAAAACCGAAATTTTATTGTTTTTGATAAAGTATTTATACCATTTATTAAAAAAAAAAATTGATACATTTGACTTATTTCAAAATATCAGGATGATTATCAACTAAAGATGTTGCTTGTGTATAGATTATTTACAAAAATATTTGAGCCAATAATTTCTTTAATACAAACTTTATTTCCACATTAACATTTTTTTATTATAAAAAAACTTTGTTTTATTATAAAAAAAGTTTGTGGGTTGTCGATTAATTAGTAAATGTCAAAATCAGGCAATCAACTGTCAAAATAAGCCACACATTTTATATCCATATCAAAAACAGTTTTTTTTTTGTTGTTTTGTTTTTTTGGAATAAATTTGAATATTTAAGTGCTTTTCAAATGGTTAATCCATTTGAAAAATCCAATTAAATAAACGTTTTTTTTAGAAATTATTTATAGTTAAGATAATCAATAAAAAATGTTCTAAATGATATAAAAACAGATTATTAAATAAAGCAACAAAATATTTTTAATTATAACCAAGGTGACCAAATAGACATTTTACTGTTCAACGACAAACAGTGGCAATGATATAAAAACAGTATTTGAGAAGAATCTTTTTAGCTTAAGAAGGTTGAAACAGCAAAACTAAATTTGTTATTTTTATGGAAGTGGACTTCACAAAACGAAGTCTTTAATTGAAGTTCTACAAACTCTTCAAAACCTTTTTTAAAAATTTTGCAAAAAAGTCATTTTGTTTCTTATGTTGGAATAGAATACCTCTAAAATATGCTAATTTATTATTGTTCATAAACACCATTTTGTTCATCACTTCAAAAACAAAATTCAAAGTATTGAGAAGTATGGAGGCGTGTCGAGTGTGAGAACACTTTAATTTCATTTTAAATCATGTTCGTTTAGATAAAAAAAACCATTTAATAATGGTTTTTTATCTGAACGATTTAGAGGCGTGTTTTTTTTTTAAATTTGCCTTTTACTTTTTACTGCTGGTGTCGATATCAATTAACATCTTGTTCTTTTGAACACCATTGTGTAAAACTCTACAAAAAAGTACATTTAAAAAAAAAAAAAATTATGGTTTTAAGTTAACTTGAAGTCATCAGTTTGTTAATTAAGATTTATTTAGTCAATAGAAATCATCCTCTTTCAAAATTCGTTCAAATAAGTGAACATTGTTAACTCTCTGTGGCGTTATTGAGTTTGCACCGTGTTCATTAGGGTAGTCTAGTTGAAGTTGATAAAAAGCGGGGTTAGTTAATCAATTTTTAATAAATCTAACTGATTTTTTAAATCCTGTGTTGGATTAAAAAGATAAGCTATATATATATATATATATATATATATATATATATATATATATATATATATATATATATATATATATATATATATATATATATATATATATATATATATATATATATTAAAGTTTGTAATGCAAGTTGTTTCTTTATGTTTAATTGCAAAGTTTTATTTGTATTATATTTCAAACCTGCGCAACTTATCTCCACTAGACTAGGTGACACTAGTTATGTTATAAAACGAATGTTGCAAAAATACTTGCGAAAAATTCCAATCAAAAGCCCAATATGTAATCAAAGTCAATTTGTAATCAAATTAAATCCAATTTGTAATCAAAATCATTCCAATTAAAAGCCCATTTGTAAATTATCAACACGTGATGTCTTATAAATTTTTATTCTGATTTTTATTAAACGTGCATTTATCGAAATTTTATGTCAATTATATTACAGAAGAATCTCATTGTTATAAATTGTAATAAATTTATATAATACGTTATAAATTATAACATATTAATGGTATTTATCAACACGTGATGCCTGATAAAAACAATTTATATGACATCACGCGTTGATAATTTACAAATTTGCCTTTCGATTACAATTTTTTCATGAGTCTTTTTGTAACATTCTTTTTGTAACATTCTTTTGTAACATAATTTAAAATCATTTTAATTAATATCTTTAAATAATAAGTATCTACGTGACAACTAACACGTCATATCAATTCATTAAAGAGACAGTATTACATCCTCTCTTTAATTTAAAATATACAAAAACGGTTTAAAATATAATTCAATAATTTGAATAAGGGTTGTAAAGTTTTTTGTGTTTTTTTGTTTACTTTATCTATAGCATAATAATAAACCAACTTAATAATCAACTCCAATATAACTTCTTTACTTATAATTAGCATTTATTAGACTTAAAAAATTAATGTATTTATTTTGGTACTGTTGGTATCTAAGATTGATTTTTATTTAATTACATTAACTTAAACTAAAATGTGTTTTTTAAAAATGTGTAAAGTAAATATATTTTACCATGTCTTTTTTCATAACGCTGTATTTATATTTTACATTTCGGAAGATATATAAAAATTTCTTTACCGTTTTCCTGACCTCATACCGTTACACAGATCCAGAACTTTTCTGACGTCAGCCTATTATATAAATCAGGAAACTTAATACTTCAGTCGCAACACGATTGCTAAAAAGATTCGCCCACTACTTGTATCGAATTTTGATTTAATCTCAATATTAGGCGAAATTGAATTTACAATAAATACGAAGAGGTCGTCCATAAATTACGATTTTGTGACAATTAGTTACGAGGGGGAGGGGGGTCTCCGATTTTGTGACGCATTTTTTTTTTTTATTTTAAGTTTTGAATCTAGATAATACTTACTTTTAACTAAAATTAAGTATTATCTAGATTTAAAACTTAAAGAAATTATTAACAGTCTATGTGCAGTGCACGTTCTGCGTTTTGACTTTATATGGTCCAAGTGCAGCACTTTATTTAGTTGGTGCACAAAAGTGTGCAGCAACAAAAGAAAAAAGCATTTGCGCACTAAAAAAAAAAATTTTGACGCAAAGAGACGAACCACATACCCTTAGTTTACAAGCCTGAAGCAAAACCTACTCGGCACGCTAACATTCCTAGTTGTGAGAAAATTATATTTACAAAATAATATTTTTGCATGTATATCGGGAGAATAGCTATTTAAAAATGGGATCGTGTTTAGGATAGCGATTTATACAATTTTACACGGAACTATTGGGGTGAAAAAAAAACGTTGAACAGACTGAAAAGTAATAATTAATTAACTCAAAGAAGCAAAAAAATAATAGCATCATATTTAAATTCGTTAAAAAAAAAATTTTTTTTAGGGGGGTGGTTACAAAATTTTACCGTAATATTGGGGGGGGGGTCAATAAAATGTTACAATGCGTTACAAAGCGGGATGGGGCAAAAAATGCGTGACGTATTTATGGACGACCCCTAAATAACTTATTAAAAGTTATTTTTTTGCTTTAAGACTGGTGATTTGGGAAGTTTACTTATTTCACTCTGCTACCAACCTAACGGTAATCAGGTGTGCATCGTAATTTTGAAAGCAACAGGATTACCAGATACAGAAGGGAAATTGTCAGGTTAATTTTTTTTTTTTTTTTTTTGATTAATGATTTTTGATACATTACATAAAATGTTATTTAGTGAATATTAATAAAACGGATCCAGGAATCGGATTCGGATCCTTTTTGGAGGATGAGGGGGTTAAATATTTATATATTTTGTATCACGTTTGTGTCTCCTAAAAAATAAAAAAAGGTCCTCCATTTCTAAGATATTTTAGAACTTTCAAATCTTTGAGGTGGAAAGGGGGGGTGCAAATACCCTATTAACGACCCCCCACCCCTGGATTTGTTACAGTATACTAAGGGACACCTTAAAATTTTAAATGTTTAAAGAAATCATTACTTTAGTTCATGTTTAGTAAGTTATTGCTGTGAAATGTTATTTTAAAATGGGATTTATAGTGAGAAAATAATCTTATAAACATTTTTTAAAATAAATATTTTTATCATAAAATAGAACTAAATAATATAACAAGAACAAGCAAAACAAGCCTATGAAAACAACCATATTAAGACGAAATAAATAGCGCAAACAAATAAAACTACAAAAATATAGAACAAATAGAAGTCTTTGTTCGAAAGTCTTTGTTAAAAATAGAGAATGTAACCGGATCATCACAATATGATAAATCGATAAATCGACTATTCAATTTAATTGTAAAAAATTAATGGTCGATTGAATAATTAACAAACGATTAATCAATTAATTTCCGTTATTTATTTATTTTTTCAATTATTTTTCCTTTTATCTGGTTTTCACCGGCGAGAAATGTAAACAAATAGATGTTAAATAAATGGGCGGCGTTACACTGCCACTCGAAAAGTCGTTAGGAAAAAGTTCATTTGTTTGAAAAAAATGTTATTTTATATTTGTATTACATAATTATATTGAATATTTTAATATTCAAGTGCAAAGGTTCAATTAAACTTAATTCAGTTATTATTATTATTCTGTTGTTGTTTTTTTTTTATCATTTAAAGCACAAACTTAAAAAATTTCTGGCCAAAATTGTTTTAAAGAAGCCAAAAAAATACAGCCGAGTATTGCTGCTTACTGTAACAAAATAGATAACAAAACTGAAGACGCATTAGTTCGTTTAACAGCTGTAAATCATACCCATTTTACAACTTTGGCCAATATTAAAGATATTAAAAATGACTGGAAAGCTTAACCCTTTGGCTGCTTAATAAAATTAAAAAATGTTTAGAAAAATTCAACTAAAAAAAACGAAAACCAAAAAAAAACAGTTTTGAGATTTGTATACCATTTTTCATTTTACAACATCTACAAAGCTTATAAACAAAAAATTTAAGCCCTCGTTGTATAAATAATGAATGATACTTAGAAAAGCAAGCAGAACACAGGCCTACATCACAAGATTGACCCAGCCATGATGTGCGTACTCTGGTATTGTGGCAACACAGTTTTTTATGACCATGTAATAAATTGTTAATAGTTGTGTGTTGTGGCTGCATTTTTTCAATTTCAATTGTTGCCTTCAACAAAAAAATCATCACTACTACTAATATTTTTTTTTGCTAGTAGAGTTTTCTTCATACATTGAGGTGTCTTAGTTATCATTCATTTTCACAAAAATATATATACAAACAATATATCAAAAGAAAGAAAAAAAATAGGCACTACACAGTGGTACCATTTATGTTTTACCATATCCGATATCGTGGTCAAAGTCAAAGGGTTAAGGAATAAAAGTTTGATGATTGACATGCATAGAGGCAACTGTTTTGAAAACGAAAACTCAAAAAAGTTGTTCATGAACTACAAAAAAAAAAATTCTTTTGAACTAAAAAGTACTTACTTTTTATTATACATTGTAAAAAAATGTCGCTTTGATCGAATGATTAGAATAAACAATTCAATGACTTCATAATAACAGTTAATATTTTATTGACAATTTAAATAAATTTGGTTTGAATTTGAATAATAATACTTTTGGTTGTGTTAATTATGGTGCAAAAGAAAAAAATGGGACTTAAAATGGGTATTAGCCACCAATTTTGTTATGGAATTCACCTGGTAGCATGTCTTATTCCTTATAAGAAAAATTTATTTACCAGTCAAAACAACTCGAGAAAAACTATTCATAGATGAAGAGAATAAATAAAAAGAAGCTGATTCTGATCTTGGTAATGGCAATCAAAAATGCTGGAAGAAAGTATCAGTTTGATGATCCACATGAGGACTGTGGTATTTTATATCAAAGTTTCATAAAAAAGTCAAGCGGTTTAGAAAATTATAACTTATGAACAAGTAAAGGGCTAACTTGTAAGTCATCACCTTAAGAAATTTTAAACTGTATTCACAAAAAAAAAGGTCTTTACAAAAGATTTACAATACCATAAGCCTCTCTCCATCTTCTATCGAAGCAGAAATTTTAATGCTGCTGATTTGTTACTGACTTAAAACCTGTTTAAATAAAGACAATGTTAAAAACTTATGTTTTTTAAGTTCATATGGGCAGAAAAAAAAAAGAAAACGAAATCAGCAATTTACTTGCAAATTACTTGTTATGATTTTAAATTGTAAAAAAAATATTTAAAAAAACTAAAAATTGATTGTTAATTGAATAATTTAAAATACTGATTAATCTAACATTCAACTTGAAAATAATCAGTTAAAAGAATTTTGAAAATTGTTCATAACGTCTTGTAGTAATTTTAATTTGTTATTTAAAATAATAATAATAAAAAATAAAAGTTTTAATTTAATAAGTTGATTGAGAAAATATTTTTACAAAAATATTTTGCTTATCCCACAAGCTCCCCTAATAATTTTCTGGTGATGAAATGGTGACAAGTCCACAAAATTACGTCTCTATAAAAACGTATATCACGCCTGAATAAAGGCGTTATTTACGTCTACGCTTTTTAATAGTATTAGTATGTACATACAAAAAACTACAATTATATTTATAGTACATATATAATATATATTTTTTAACTATTTTTATTTAAAAAAGATTAAGTAATGTTTGTATTACTTTTTTTTCCTATTTTGTTTTTTACTATTATATTTCAGATCATTTTGTGAAAATCAAATTATTGCAGAACGGCAACATATTGGACAAACGTCGCACGCATGTTATCAAGAAAAACACATGCCCTGTTTTTAATGAAAAACTTATATTTCCTGTTGACGATAACGTAATGCGTAATCTAGTTATAGTATTTGACGTCGTTCGTCAGGAATCGAAAATTAAACACGAAAAAGTAGGAAGCGTTATTTTGGCGAACCATAGTTTATTAAGACAAGTAACTCCTCATGAAATACAGCATTTTAATGAAATGCTTCAGTCTCCGCAACGTCAAATAGCTGAGTGGCATAAAATAGTTTAATAGAAAGTTATACTTCTATGTTTTAGTTTTAGTTTTTATTTAAAAAAAAATTTATAAGCATAACTTCATATAAGCATTCATTCAATCAGTCTTTGAATTGTTTTTGCATCTATAAATTGGTTAAAAAAAATTTATTTAACTATTTTGTAGTCGTTTCGTTAAAGTTCAAATTACAAACCTAATAATGCGATGAAGTTCAAATTACAAGTTATCAGAGCCAACGACACCGGGGGCCCTCTTTCCTCCCCTCCCCCTTTCACTTTTTTTGCCAAGGACTTTTTTTTTTTTTAAGAAAAATCTAGACTTTTTTTAAAAATTGACGATTGTGCCCCTCCACTTCGAAACCTGTGTCGTTGGCCCTGGGTATACAAATTATAAGGAATATACCTAATAAATGCGATAAAGTGCAAACTGTACTGTGATTATCAAAAGATCAAACAATTAACAAAAAAAAAACAGTTTTTTGACTCATTTTTTCCTAATTCAACAAGAGACGAAAAAATGTTAAAAAGTTATCTTGTAAACGTTATACTATCGTGTATTTTTTTTTTAATTTATTTATTTCGTCCTTTAAAATAAGCTTTACAATGGTTTACATAGCAATAAAGGGTTTTGAAAAATTCCAAGTGAAGCTGACAGAAGACATGGTCTCATCATCCAGCCCCTTTTTACAAATTTAGATATAATCTTGTATATAATACACATGTATAAACTTTTTTTTTTTTTTTTTTATTTTTTTTTTTTTTTTTTTTTTTTTTTCGTCAATTTAATAACATAACATTGAAATCCATACATATTGAAGAAAAAAACATATTGAAGAAAAATAATTTTAGATTAAATCTTGGAATTAGGAATAAATCAACCAAATAATATTCTTTTCCACTTTTTTAATACGTTTACTCGAGCCAACACTTTCATTAAGAATTATACCTAAAAAGTTGATTCAGTATTCTCTTTTAAGTTTAGTTTTTTCGATAAGCAGTTCAGGAAGTTTTAAGGTGAGGGTGTCTGAACCTGAGAATTTTGTAAAAAGAGTATATTTTTTTACGTTTAGCGAGAGTTTGTTGGCCTTAAACCATTAGTTTAGATTTTTTAGTTCTTGATTAAACGTATTAAACATTAGGTTAATGTTTTTGTGGCTAAAAAAATACTTGCGTATTGTCAGCAAAAAGAATAAAGTTGAGTTAGTTGGAAGATAAGAAGATATCATTAATATAAACAAGGAATAGCAATGGCTCTAAAATTAATCCTTGCAGGACCCACAAGTAATACTTTTAGGTTGTGTAACAGTATTGTCATACAATAATGCTTGTCTTCGATTATTAAGGTAGAAACCATGGACGACAAAGTTACTTGAGGAAGAGTTCATATCAAGTGAAAGAAAAGGTGACGGAAAAGAAAAGACGGAAAAAAACACATACTGAAACTTTTTAGTCCCTGTGTAATAAGGTAGGCATCAATATTAAGCGATTATTGAAGCGAAGAAAAGTCGAATATGTCCAAGAGTTATGCTGGTGTTCTTGCTTTGCCGAGTCAGAATTGTAATCCAAAGCCGAAACTTGGAATCTTTAATTCTAAACCGGTTGAAGAGAATAGCTATGTTTTAGTTTGTCGTTATGGTAATTTGAATATTAGCATAAATGAATTTCTAGCTGCCTTAGCTCAAAAAGATCTATTAACAAATGTCTGGGGAGTCACGCGTCATTATGCACATAAATATTTCGAGTTTGCTGTCCACAACAGCACATTGATTCCTTTATTTTTAAAATCTGAAATTATTTTTAAAAACTGCGTTTTAACCTTTCAACAAAAGTTTGTAAGAAAAATACATGTTCTGGTATAAAACATCCCGATAGGAATTCTTCGAAGTGGATGCAAAGATGCCATTACCAAACTTGGCAATCATCTAGCCCTAGGACGTGGACAATTTGATTCCTTTTACTGTCAAAGCGTAAAAGTCCACGGTGAAGAAATTTTTACAGGGAATGTCATCATTATAATCAAAAACTGGACAAACCCATATGCCAACCCACTTCCACGTTTTGAAAATGTCGACGGTTTAACGTTACGATACAAACACAACGGACAACCGGAAAGTCGACTAAAAACAACTGAAAACCTACTGATGCTGATACATCCCAAGGAAAAAATTCAGAGATCGTGGAAAGTGTGAAGGAAACCGACGAAGAACCATCCACTCAATCTTCACCTAAACAAACTGAGCCTGAAGAATTAGAGGTTTTGAAATCCAAAAAAGCAGTTCAAAAAACTCAAAATGAAGTAGTTGCTCAAATCGTCTGCGATACAAAAGAATCGACGAAACCTAAAAGAAAGAGCCAAAACGATTTGCGAGAAGGCGAAACACCATCAAAACAAGTCACTCCAAATCAAACACAGGTAATGAACGACGTTGAAATGGAAGGAACGTGTTCTTCTGAAATCGCTGAAGAACAAAACGACGATTTAGTTTTCGACTACGAAAACTATGATCTCATAAAAAGTGCTGGAGAAAAATCGTAAGGTTTCATATTATTTCCTTTTTACTTTTTTTTCTCCTTTCCTTTCTAAAAACCATTTTTTTTTTCTAAAACTTTGTTTTTTTCTAAAACTTTGATTTTTTGTTTTTTCGATTCTTTCACGTTCTATTCTATTAAAATGCATGTTCTATTTTTAAAACCGCGCGTAAGCTGTCGTAATCTGTATTGTTGTAGTTCGCGCTTTTGTGTAAAATGTTATGGTCCAGTGCGTCCATCTGTTCGTAATACGTCAGTTAAACCGAAAACTCGTGCTTTAAGTTTAGGCTTTATATGTGCGTGTTTTTTATATCAGGTTGTAAAATTATCATATTTATGTTTAAGTAACACGAGTTTTCAAATTAGGAAAACTGATTCTCTCCATCATGACTGTTAATGTTTTAACGTGCAACATAAACGGTCTAAACGACCAAGAAAAACGCGAAAATTTTTTTGGGTTTCTAAAAAAATCCTCCTTCGATCTCATCCTCCTACAAGAAACACACTCTGGACCTTCCACTGTTCAACAGTGGGGAGACGAATGGACTGGCGAGTCCATTTGGAACTCTGGTCCAAGTCATAACAGTTGCGGGGTGGCGGTTCTCTCGAAATCCAACATTTCTTTAAGCGAACTAAAAAGGGACACTAACGAAAGAATATTAAATGTCATAATAAAATTTGACGAACACGAAATGCAGGTGATGAATATTTATGCTCCTAATGTGCCGAGGGAAAGGCGCCATTTTTTTGGCGACCTTGTTGATTTCTCGCAGGACACAGGACTACCCGTCCTGTTGGCCGGAGACTTCAACATGGTCGAAAGCCTGCCTCTTGACACAGAAGGCACCAACAACGCTAAATATCACACCTACGGCGTGGACAAACTCGGGGTATTCCAAGGTAAGTATAACCTGGTTGATGTTTTTCGTTTAAAATTCCCGAACAAAAGAGAATTCACATGGCGAAATCAGAAGGCAAAATGTAGACTCGACCGAATCTACTGCCCTGAAAAAATCGCAAAAAAAACAACATATACAAAAATTCTCACTAACCCCTTCCCGACCACGAGTTCGTAACAACAACCATCAATTTTAGTAAAACCAGGAGAGGACCAGGATACTGGAAATTAAACTGTTCTCTTTTAGAAATAGAAGTGTATAGGCAAAAAATTGAACTCTCAATTAAAGATTGGCAAACTAAAAAACGGTCCTACAATTCAATTTTAAAATGGTGGGACGACTGCAAACTTTTTGTTAGGGTAGAATTACAACATATATCTATTCAGGAAAGTGCGAAAAACAAAAAACAGATCAAAAGGATTGAAAACGAAATCCAAAGGGAGCGACAAAACGCCAACCCGAATTTAGAAAGCATCAAAGAAAAACGCGATGCTCTTTTCTTGCTCCATTTCCCAGGAGCGTTTATTCGCACGAAGCAAAAACTAGTTAAAGAAGGAGAAAAACCTTCAAAATTTTTGTACAGTTTGGAAAAAACTCAACAGAGGAACAAGTCAATTACCAAAGTTCGCAAGAAGGACGGAACATTGACGAGTGAACCTGGTGAGATTTTAAACTCCCTTGTTTCTTATTACAAAAACATCTACACCAAAACGAATTTATGTAAAGACAGCCAAAACTATGTCTTGTCACACATCACTAAACATTTGAGTGATGATGAAAACCAATTATTAAACACCCGCCTAACCGGCGCGGAGTTAAAAGAAGCCCTTTTTAAATTTGAAAACGGAAAATCCCCGGGCTATGACGGACTTCCAGCTGAATTTTATAAAACTTTTTGGCACATTTTAGAAAAAGATTTTGAAGAACTTGCTTACGAAATACTTTTCGTAGAAAAAAACACCAGCCACTCTATGAAAAGATCAATAATTTCACTAATTCCCAAGCAAGGAGATCTCACCGAACGTAAAAATTGGAGGCCCATATCCTTAATCGGCGCTGATTACAAAATAATCACAAAAGCGCTGGCCCTAAGACTTGCAAAAGTAATGGGGAAAATTATAGAACCAAATCAAACTTGCAGAATTCCAGGTAGAACAATTTTCTCAAATTTACACCTAGTCCGTGATCTAATAGATTACGCCGAAATTAAAAATCTACCTAGTTTCATTTTGTCAATAGATCAAGAAAAGGCGTTTGACAAAGTCGATCGCGCGTTCCTGCTGCAGATTCTCCAAAAATTCAACCTTGGAGAAAATTTTATATCTTTTATTAACACCCTGTATTCAGAAATTTCGGCATCTGTTCTGAATTGCGGATTCTTGTCAGCCACTTTTCCAACCGAAAGGGGAGTCAGACAAGGAGACCCCCTCTCACTTTTGTTGTATGTCTTTGTCGCCGAAGCTCTTGCTTTGGTGGTCAGAGCGGACAGCAGAATTGAGGGATTCCCTTTACCAGGAACATCGAAACCGCTTAAACTACAGCAGTACGCAGACGATTCGAACTTTTTTGCCAGGGACGTAAAATCAGTCCGTTTCTTTTTTGAAGCAGTAAAACTTTTTGAAAAAGAAAGTGGTTCAGTGATCAACGCCTCAAAAACCAAGGGTCTTGCTCTTGGGGGCTTTGATCCCAAAATGTACCCGGAATTGGACAACATAGAGTGGACTAATAACACCGGTTTCAAAATTTTAGGTGTTATGTTTTACACCAGACTGAGTAATACTACCAATTTCAACTGGCTAGTAACTCTAAACAAAATAGAGAAAAAACTCAAGTTTCTGGGACTACGTACTTTGTCACTTAGGGGAAAGACTATGTTGATAAATACGTTAGCATTGTCAAAAGTGTGGTTTCTGGCAAACGTTTTGCCCGTTCCCGAATGGGTAATAGAACGGTTGCACAGTGCCATTTTCGAAAATCTGTGGCAAAAGGCCAATTTCAACCCGGTCAAAAGAGAGACGCTTTTCTTACCCGTCAAAAGCGGGGGTCTCGGAATTTTACCACCGAAGGAGCAAAGCCTTGCGCTCCGCCTCAAAACACTCTTTCAACTGAAGGAATGCGGAGAGGATAACACTCACGATAATTACTACTTTTCAAAGTACTGGTTAGCAAGTTCACTTATTAAATTCACAAACCAAAACCCAAGCTGGAACTTTTTAAAACAGAACAATTTTCCAAAACACTGGGACAACAAAATGTCTCAGTACTACAAAACAACTATTGAAGTTTTAGGCAAAAACGGGTTCCTTTTTAACATCCCCCTAAAATCAACAAAAAATTTTTAGTTAGAAGTGGCAAAAAACAAAAAGACAGTTGTACCAGCAGAACTTTTCTGGAACGGTTCAACAAAAACAACAATGCCGTGGACCCAAATTTGGAAAAAGAATTTTACCTCCCACGCATGCGGACCGACTCAAAACATCCTCTTTCGATTTTTGCACAACAGCCTACCTTCTGCGGCCTTGCTAGCCAAAAGCACAAGGCAACAGATTGTCCAAAACAACAAATTTAAAACTTGTGGTAAAATCGAGGACAACCTTCATATCTTTGCCTACTGTCCTCCTTCCGTTGAAATTTGGGAATATTTTAAACATGTATATAACTCCTTGACGTCCCAAACGGTTTTTTCGCCGATAAATTCGATTTTCTCAATCGGAACCGCGAATTTATCGGAAAAAAATCCTACCTCGCAACTGCTGTTGACACTCACTCAAACCATGATGAGTGAGATATGGAACAGCAGATGCCACCACATGTTCAGTAACATGAAAATGTTGTGAAAATGGCAGTGATCAGAGTAATAATCAAGAAAATCAGGATTATTATTAATTTAAAATATAATTATCATGTCCGTAGAAACACTACGGACATTTTCTGTCAACTTTTTTGTATTAAAAATATAATATGTCAAGTAGAGAACGGAAGACTGAAACTAAACATATGAGCTAAACTGACACCCTACCTCAAATAAAAGAACTAT